CCCGTACAGCCCCTGCCTCCTCTCAGCCACCACCTGGAGCTGCGTCCCAGTTCTGACAGGCACCCAGGTGGTGCTGACGCTGTGGCCAGTTTGGGGGCTGCCCCCAGGGTTCAGCATGCAGGGCTCTTGGGAGCTGCTTTCCTCCCAGCCCCGGGCCTGGTTTGCCAGTGGTACCAGCTCCGACCCCTCGACCTCTCGGGTCTCACACCCCATCTCGCTTTAGCAAGCCCACCCTCTTGCTCTTTGCGCAGCCCAGTGCAGCAGCCACCTGCAGAGCTGGAGGAAAAGTCCTGGTGGTCTGGGCCTCTGGCCCCTGAGCCATTAGCTCCATTCCCTGTGCCTCAGGTCTCCTGTCAGTAAAATGGGACGAGGATACCGCCCCACCCACCCCTTACAGGAAACGGTGCTGTGTTAAAGCCGCACCACCCTTCTCAAATGTGAGGAATTTGAAGAGGTGGTAGCTTTTGCGGGGGTAAAGCTCAAATAAAAGGTAAATGTTATGTTAGAGAGATTTAAGTTTGCTGAGGTCCCACTCTGCTGAGTTTTGTGCCGAGGGCCACAGGAAGAATGGAGTGTGACTTCAGCCTCACAAAGGTTTTGCTTCAGCTCTCTGTTTTGGGTATTTTCAGTAGTTGAGTATTTTGTTCTTTTTGTAAAGGTAGATTTCCCCCACAATTGTCTGGCAACGAAATGCAGTGTAAGTTCATCTCAAATATCCTTAAACAACATGCATCTTGTTCAAATGCCGCTAGGAATGAAGCTTTAATCTCTGATGAATGAAACTCAAAGTTCACAGCATCAGAGTGAAAGGGAACAACAGGGAGTGGAGACTGCTCCTGCCAGCAGGCAGGTGGCTCTTTCCCGCGGTCATCGCTCTGGCGCCCCAGGCAAGCTCACCTGCTAAGCTGCCTGCACACGGCCTCTCCGCACGAACGCTGGGACTTCACTGCATGGCTTAGGTGCCCGGCTACAAATCTAACTCTTGCTGTTTGTTGCTCTTAGACCTGAAGCCGCAGACACTGGCGGGCACGGTGCCCTGCCTCCCTGCCTACATCCTCTACATGTGCATCAGGTACGCAGACTACGTGAACGACGACCTCAAGGTGCACTCCCTGCTGACCTCCACCATCAACGGCATCAAGAGAGTCCTCAAGGTCAGTGTCCAGGCTGAAGGTGGTGGTTTGCGGGGGCACTGAGTGAAGCCAGCAGCCCACCGTTGCCTCTCTCTGTCTGGGTTTTGCAGTAGCAAGTTCTCCAAAATCTCCAGCTCTGAAGGTAAATGATTCAAGTGCAGAAGCAGCTCGCCTGTGTAGCAGGGGTGCCTGGGCAGTTTCTCAAGAAGGATGCTTGGGCTCACAGCAGGAAGCCTAGAAATCCCGTGTAGCCCTCCAGCCGCTCCCTGCTAAACCTCCAGGGAACACTGGCATTTTCAGAGGACTTGACCAGAGATGCTAGGAAGACATCCTGCCTCAGCTGAGGGCAGGTTGACCCCATCCTGGAGTGAGGTTCAGGGATGCAACTTGAACACAGGCTCTCTTCAGACCTTTCCAAGGGGCTGGGTGCCTGCTGCCCAGGGTGGGGGCACAGGGAGGGTGCTGACAGTCACCACCTTCCGAGGTGAGACACTAGGCTGGGCCAGGGCTGCTCGCGGGGCTCTGATGGGGTTCAGGAGCACCACCTGAAGGCCCAAGGCTCTTCACGGATGTGCTGGTAGCTCTTGCAGTCACAGGCTGCCTGCTGAGGCCCAGCCGCACAGAGGGTGGGGTCACATGGTGGGAAGTAAGATTTCTGAGGGACATTAGTCCTCAGTGAGAGAAAGACTGACAGCTCCCAGCAGGCCCGAGCCCTTGGTCCCCAGTTCTCAGACGCTGCCACTCAGGGTGCAAGCCGTCCTCAGAAGCATGGAGTCCCGCCCAGCTCTGAGCCCCGCTGCCTGACCCGTTCCCTTCTGTGAGGGCCCGCGCCAGCCCGCACATCCCAGCTCCGTGCCAGGCCTTCTCTGCCATGGGCTCCGTGGTCACTTTTATCCACTCCTGGCCCTAAACGTACATCATCGCCTGCTCACGACCCTCAGGGCTGCGTCTCCTGCCCTGACCTCTTTTGTGAGCTCCAGGGGGGTTCGTGCCAGTCTAGGTGGTGTCGCTTCCTGAATTAGCACACTCAGCCCCCGCCGGTCACTTTCTGTTCAGCTTCCTTGTCGCCATAGCTCACCCCTCTGCCTGACATTTACGTCATGACCACACTGACCTGACGGAACGTGCTCCAAAGCCATGGTCCTGGTGCACGAGCTGCAGTGTTGCTATTCAGGTTGTTGATCAACCTTTATCATTTAGTTACAGCTTGTTGCCATTTTCCAGAGCTCAAATTGTTGCACACCTGGCCTCTGTAGATAAATGGGATACCAGAATATTTCACTGGCATGCTCTCTGCCACTCCTTCTGTCTGAGTGCTGATAGCTGAGAACCTGCCCGGCCAGGTCACAGTAGAGCCCAGGGCTCTGTGTCACTTGGTGTTGTAGCCATAGAGAAGACTTGTCCTCCGTGTGCATGCCTCTGATCAGGGGACCGGGACGAGGTCGTGTACCATCCCCAGCAGTGGAGAAGCAGTGAGTCTCATCTCTGCTCGTGACTGGCGAGGGCCCGCCTGTCACTGGGTCTGCTTGGGGACTGCTGGGTGAGAGGAGGAAATGTGGACATGGAAGTTAACGGGTAAGCATTTAACCAGATGGGAACTGCTGACGCATAACCAAGAATGTCTTTTCTTGTCACAGAAGCATAATGATGACTTTGAGATGACGTCCTTCTGGTTATCCAACACCTGCCGCCTCCTGCATTGCCTGAAGCAGTACAGTGGGGATGAGGTGAGCCCCTGAAGTGCCCCGTGTCCTCAGCGCTTAGGTCCTCATTCCCTTGTGCCCAGCAACACGCGTTCCACCTCAGAGCACCTAGGATCTCAGGTTAGAACGGGGGCAGAGGTGTCAGTCATGGAAGGCATCTCGGTCTTGTCCGCACATCATTCTGAGGTGACATGTGTCCCGAGGAGAGGGTGTGAGGTCTTTGGAACACCCTCTCTGACCTCAGGCTCCAGGCACCTGCTAGCTAGAAGCAGGGGAAAGGCGGGCCTCCTTGACCCCGAGGGCCCTGGAAAGCATCTAATGAAATAAGTAGATTTGTGGGTAAATGAGTTTACAAAAACCATCCATTGTCTGAGAGCCCCTGTGACCTTAATTTTCTGAAGCAGCTCTAGAAAAGCCCCATTTCTGTGAATGCTGACAGGACGCACCGTTGTCTTCTAAGCCAGCCAGCTAGCTTGTCCGTTTTCAGGCAGACGGAGGTGGCCCAAGAGGCACAGGGTGATCGATCTATGTGCAAACCGACCCCTTCATGCTTCCCACTAAGTTCGATTCCTTGGCCTGAGGACCATCACTCCATGTTCCACCGTGGACCTCCAGGGTCCTGCTTTATCTAGAGCTCACTGTTCCCACTGTTGGTTCTTGAAAGAGCTCTTCCCATGCTCTGCATTCAGCCCAATGACCTAGTAACATATGGCCTCTTTCCACCCTAGTCTCTCCAGGGAAGATTCCAGCCCGTCCCAGACACTGCCCACACTCCCATTTCCCTGCAGGCCTCCTCGGCTTTCCCTTCTCTCACTCTCCACCCTTCCCAAGGCCAGCACGTGGTGTAAATCAGTATAGCGCAATAATTTTGAAAGCTTCATTCCACCTTCGGTGCCAGCACAAGTTGCGACAGACTCTTCTCCCTGGGATGATAAAAGCACACACCGAGCCGGCCGTCTTGCCGCCCTGGGAGTGGGCCTTGACTCCCTCTCTCTCCTTAGAATCAGAACTTTGCTCGACACCCGCTTTTATTATGAAAGGGGATGGGTTAAACATTAAAGAAGGGGCTTTTACTGTATTAATGGGAGACGTGGCCTTCCTTTCGAACCAGATATCCTCTATCACGTAACCCCAATATCACATACAAGCTTTTACTTCAAGCACAGAGCTGCATTTAAGGTTGTCTCATGGAGGGTCATCACGTGGCCCAACGCTGTGTGCATCCTGCACGGAGCGCAGCACAGGGCTGGGGAGGACCCAGAGTTCCGTGACGTTAGGCTGTTGTTCCACGTGCTTATAGCCCTGGGACAAGACTTGAACTGCGGTGTAACCACATCGTTGTAGACTAACATCTATCTCAGTGATCCCCTCTTCTGCCTGCGTTTGTTTTCATTAAAACTTGCTTTGTGATTTGACCTAGGACGAGAGGCTCTGCTGGGGGTAGGCACCCTTTTGAAAACACTAGCCTTTCAGCTACTCTTTGTTCCCCTTGGCCTGAGAGCTAAGCAGACACAATGCTATAGCTGTGGAGTCGTTTCAGTTCATCCATTAATTCTGATACCCAAGGGATAAATCCATATAAAATTTCTCATTTTAAAAACATACAGTCTGACCGCGGTACTCCTGTAGGGATTGTGTAATGTAACATTTTAGGCGAACCTGGTATATTGGGAAGAGAAGTGGGCAAAGGCTCAGAAAGCATGGTAGATCCCTCTTTCCAGGGACCTGCTGCCTTAGGAAAACTCCAGAGATTTGGACTAAATGGTTTAGGCCTCTTTAATTAAGCAGTTTCAACTTTTCTATCATGCTGAGTTTTTACACGGCCTAAAATTGAAGAGCCATCATGGAGACCTCAGAGAACCTGACAGGGTCTTGTAGAACATCATATGAGTAGACAGAGCCTGACAGAGCCCCCCAAATCCCCACAGACAGGGTATTGCCAAAGCGACTGGAGGCCCAGAAGTCCTGCTGGGCCCGGCAGACCACGGCACCTCAGTAAAGCACGCCTCTCCCTCCGCAGGGCTTCATGACCCAGAATACCGCGAAGCAGAATGAACACTGTCTTAAGAACTTTGACCTCACTGAGTACCGACAGGTGCTGAGCGACCTTTCCATTCAGATCTACCAGCAGCTCATTAAAATCGCCGAGGGCCTGTTGCAGCCTATGATAGGTAAGCTGCACAGGAGATAGCCCGCTCTCGTCCTGGGGTCTGAAGTGGAGGTAAGCACTGCCTGCTCGGGGAGGAATGGGTATTTTAGGCGTGGCCAGCAGAAAGCCAGAGCCCTCCTGGTGAAGGCAGCTGAGGCGGCGTGTGCCATCTGCTCAGAAAGAGCTACGAAATTTTCAACACCGTCCCAGCAAAGTATGCGATGCTCAGGTAGTGAGAGTCTAGATCACTTTTCCCTTTTCTCTTTTTGTAATATATTGTATTTTTCCCCAAAACTAATTTCCATAGGTAATAAATATAAATTTAGAAGGCATAAGTGCACATACAGTGAAAAAATATAATCTTCTTGCCCATAGATACTGCTTTCCCTTTTTTCATGAATAAAGTATGTTCATCTAAAAGAACACAGTAGTAAGCACTCATGCAATAAATACTGAACGTTCTAGCCAAAGCAGTAGTACACTTGGGCAGCTGACATGAAATCAGAACTGAAAAATTAAGAGCAGTTATTCTTTAAGTTAAAAGAAGAACGACACGTGTGTGCATCACTCACTGTGCTCCTGAAAGGCAGGGAGGAAACGGTCTCCTGGACCTGTGGGTAAAGCCTTCCCCAGGTTCCTGCAACACAAGTAGGTTGTAAGTGAATTCCAAGTAGGACAGAGTCCTATGTGCCATCCAGAAATACATCCCTTGGGATAAGATTCATTCCGAATCCTCCTTCCTGTCTGAGCCTCGACTCAGAATAAGGTGATGGTTAACAGCATCAATTCTGGAATCGGACAGACCTGAGTTTAAATCCGGCCCTGCCAGTTCCTAGCACCATGACCTCGGGCAAGTTACTTATGCCTCAGTTGCCTCATTAGTAAATGGGTTGTTAGACAATTAAAAGGAATATTGAAATATTAAGTGCCTGGCATATAGTTGAATTTTGTGCAAGAAGTATGACAGACCAGCTAACCTAAGATTTACGTGGTCAGGGGTCACGTAGAAGAGCTGTTTGAACAACTGTAGGATGATCTCAGGATCCAGGCCCAGGTCAGTGGCTGGGCCAAAACCACACCCAAGTTGCTCAATTCTCAGATTTTGGACTCTCAGCACTGAAGCCAATACAGAATTGAATTGCTACATGCCTTTCCCTATGGCCCATCACCAACAAATTTAAGTGAACAGATTTGGTCCAAGTCTTCTATATGGAAATCTTATTCCATGTAGAGGTCAACACATTAGGAACTTAGGGAATTTGGCATAGAATTTCTAAACATGTTGACATTGTGCAATTCCACGGGGGATCAAAGGCAAAACCCCAAGTACTATGTGATCTGAGTGACCCAAGTCGTCGTCTTTGGGAACATGCAGCTTCTCTAATCATGCTTTTCTTGCAGTTTCTGCCATGTTGGAGAACGAGAGCATTCAGGGCCTGTCTGGTGTGAAGCCGACGGGCTACCGGAAGCGCTCCTCCAGCATGGTGGATGGAGAGAACTCGTACTCCCTGGATGCCGTCATCCGCCAGATGAATTCCTTTCACACAGTCATGTGCGACCAGGGCCTGGACCCCGAGATCATCCTGCAGGTGTTCAAGCAGCTCTTCTACATGATCAACGCGATGACTCTCAACAACCTGCTCCTGCGGAAGGACGTCTGCTCTTGGAGCACAGGCATGCAGCTCAGGTAGGAGAGGCGCCTCGCCCTGGCCCCGAGGATGGAGGGGCCGCACACGCCAGCTCCAGCCGGCACGAGCCGCCTGTCTCCGAAAACGAAGTCTAAACCCAGCTGATGGTCCTTGTCATCACCAGTATGTGACTCAAGCCTGTCACCTTTTTGTTGGTGAAATTTATCACACACTGAGATGGTGATGTGGTAAACAAATTAATTCAAAGCTTAAACACATTTACATGCCCTAAGATAAAGATTGGAAAGACAATGAGTTAAGAGGCATGAAGGCTCACATAAAAGTACAAATATGTTTGTGAATGTTAAATGTAAGTTGTTTTAAATTCAATGTAGTTAATATAGACCCTTGAAGTACTTCATCTTGGTATGATTTGAAGCCCCCATTCTTTCCACGGAAAGTTACTGAGTGCCAGGCACTTTTCACGCTTTTGCCCAGGTGAGATAATTAAGATGAGGAGGATGGTAACACTTCAGAAGAAACCCAAGAGGTGTGTTCATCCCAGTGAGGTAAGGGGACCAGGTTAACACAGCTCACTCTTACTCTGCCTAAGGTACAACATAAGTCAGCTGGAGGAGTGGCTTCGGGGAAGAAACCTGCACCAGAGCGGAGCTGCTGAAACCATGGAACCTCTGATCCAAGCAGCTCAGCTCCTGCAGCTAAAGAAGAAAAGCCCCGAGGACGCCGAGGCCATCTGCTCCCTGTGCTCCTCCCTCAGCACCCAGCAGGTGCGGGCACTGTCAGCCAGGAGACTCAGAGCAAACCCAGCTTCCTGTTCAAGTCCCTTCTCGCCGGTGGTGGTTTTTTAGTGTTGCACTCCCGGCCGTTTACACCCCCAGTGACACAGTTCTGAAGTTTCAGCTGATGCGATGTTCCTAGATGAGCCCAGGACCACTCTGGTCTGTGAAACAAGATGCTACCGTTTTCCAGTAACTCTCTGGTCTCTCTCGTTCACTTAGAAAGATAAGGCAGTCAACCCACAAAACATCAAGCTTAGCTACCAACTTTTTTAAGCCCCTATGATGAAGTCTGGAAAATCGCTCACCTAGAAATTAACTTTTCTTTCAGAAACTGGCAGCATCCGGCTTTTGGCATTTTCTTTACAACCATGATTCCATTATAGTTACGTTTTACATTATTTTATATAAAGTCAGTGAGAACCTAGAAGCATTTAAATGCTCCTTTCCTCCCCCACCCCACTGTATTTATATTAGGACTCAGTTGTAGAGATAGTCTATAAAAAAAGATAAACCCCATCCACACCCAGGCAACCTCACCCTCCATCACACATGTGCCTCTTCAGAAATGGGCCCACCACCAGGAAATCACTTACCAGATTAAATCATGCACTTTCTCCCTGCTCGGCACCTAAAGAACAAAATCCCAAATCAGTAAAGTAAACATTAGTTTTCCTACCTCCCCGCTAACTACTAAACAAACTCTTAAGAAAACCACTTCCGTCTATATGTGCACCGAAAGTTTTCAGACCTTTTCCCCTTTTAAACTTATTTTGCTTTCATAACTTTGCTTCTAGCCTGCAACTGGCATTGCTCTGCATCGGGGCAGGCTACTGCCACCAGACAGTTGGTAGGCAGACAAAGGATTATCTTCCGTTCAGATAGGAAAAACCCTTAGTAAGTGATTGGGGCGGTGGGGGGAGGCACAAAGGTGTTGTTAAGACCGCTGTTATATAAGGTAAGATACCCAGTACGTTTTTAATGAACCCTTTAAATTACTTACAGATAAGAGGCTGAGGCTTTCAGGCACCAGTTTCGTAAAATCCTCATTACTTTATAAGCCATGGAGCAGAGGGGGAGAGATGGGTGGATATGTAGGAGACGGGAAGGAGATAAGATGTGGGGCCGGCTGGCACTCTCTAGAGTCATAAAAGCCCCACCCCTGGGCTCTCTGTGTGCCTGGAGCCTACTGACACCTTAACCCCCACTCCCCACTGCAGGACCCTTGGCCTACCTGCATCTCTGCAAGGTAGAAACATCTTCTCTGGATGTGTGTTTACCCTAACAAAGCTAAGCCGCCCCAAGAAATAGCCCAGCTCACAATGCCCTAGGCAGACAGCCCTCATGTCCTGCTATTATCAAAGTCATAAATCCTATTATTCAGAGTTATCCCTAACAGACCTTATAGCCAGTCAGGTACCTGTGCAAGAACTGATCGTGCAGCCCCCTACTCCTTGTGTTCACAGCCCCCTCTCCCCAATAAAAGACCCTGCGTGCCCATCCTCGGGGATCCCGTAGGCACCCCTCATCTGTGTGGCCCACAGTTGTTGGTAGCAGCGTATCTACTAAACCTCCCCTTTATTCTTAACTCCTCGTGGTCTTTGGTTGTTGGTAAATTCTTTTACCGCCCGCGACCACTGCGTTGTGGCCCACAATAGAGAGCTCAGACCTACCGGGCAAAGCTTACAGATTTGAGTTTACTAAATGTAGACCCCCTAACATCAGTCCAGCTGCATGTAAGTCGAGGGGTCCTGACTAAAAAGAAGTGTACTCCTGTGCCAAAGTTGTCTGATGTTCATTTAGCTCTGTGCTGAACTTTGGTTTTAATTTCAACAGATTGTCAAAATTTTAAACCTTTATACTCCCCTGAATGAATTTGAAGAACGAGTAACAGTGGCCTTTATCCGAACAATCCAGGTGAGTTTTTAAATGTTAATTTTATAAAGTCCTAGTCTAAAACTGTTAGAGCAGGCAGATAGCTAGATATGAGCAGAGAAAGTGGAGCACTCACCAAATGCAGGAAACCATGTATCATGTAAACAACAGGGGTCCCTGGACAGAGAAAGAAAAGCAGGAATCTCTGGGCTGATAAGCATCACACATTTTGGGGTGACAAGTGGCCTGGAGGCCGACAAAGAAAGGTAGGAAAAGGCAGGAATCTCTTGTGTCCCAGTATAACCTTTGGCTCAATATACCCTCATTACAATCAGATTAGCCTTGCAGATTAGAAGTCCCCATCGTGCACCAATGCCATGACACTTTTGATCCAGACTAAATAAGGACAAAAATCCCTCCCCACTTCGGGAAGGCGAAGTTGGGATGAAAATCAGGGAATGTGACTCTTCCACCCATTAATTTTTACTCTCTATGTAACCAGCTTGCCAAAGAAACTCAGGGCAGTGGCTCCCCTGGGCCCGCCCACTCTCCCCTTGAGAGTGTACTATCCATCCCTTAGCAAATCCTCGCTTTACTTTCTTAACCTTCCTGTCTCGTCTCTGAATTCTTTCTGCGGCAAGACAAGAACCTACTCTTCAACAGAACGAATAAAGAGAATTGAAAGTTTAGATTTTAACCTTGCTTCTCTTAAATACTGACCACATTATATTCTAGAAGACCTTACGTTCTTAGGTGTTCTCCTTGGGTAAAAATGAATTAAACCACCCATGACTAACTTATTATGTATACACGGAAGACTGAACTTTAATCATCTCTGCCTCAGATTTTAGGCATGGTCTAAGTATTGTTTCATTTGCCACGAGCATGTTACTACTAAACTATGGCACAAAATGGATTTAGCAAAGTAAGCAGAGTATCAACCCTACCCACAGAGGGATCTAAGAAATAATCTTTCAGGAAAACAACTTGAGCTCATAAATCTTGATTCTAAGACTTATCTGCCCTTAGGAGTAGCCTTGAAAGAAAACATTAGGGAAATGACCATTTAAATCTATCTT